GTTTTGCCCATAACTCAGCATTCTTATGACAACTCTAGCAATGCGAATTGAGGCGCCAAACAGCAGTCACCCAACAAAGCAAGTCAAAACAGGTAAAATCTAATAAAGCTTTCAGCCTTGCGTTCACTGCCGATATCGGCTAACCGGTTCATCACGTTACGTGTGAATGCTGATAAGCTATGGTAACTTTACCATCAAAGCTGAGTTGGGGTGAAATGGTGCCCCGGTGGTGTAACTGGTAGCACAGTTGCCCGGAAAGTAAGAGATCCGAATCCCGGTAAATAATTTACGAATCCCGGTAAATAATTTGACTTTGCCTAACGGAATTTCTAAAACATGAAATCTCGAACGATTTATGACTATCTCCGTTGTTGAACACATCACCAACCTATCAAGAACCTTCTTCCACTTGTCTGCACGCGACTGTTCCGCACCACATACCCAAATCCGACAACCCTAAACTACTATGTTATTTGGTATGCAAACAGCTAAAATCAAAGAAAATCCTGTCTCCTGTTTTCCAGTTTGCTTCGACATAATTATCCAACTAAGCACTACCTCGAGGAAATCGAAATCGCCTCTAATGCAAGTTTCGTCTAGTTGATCCAGCGGATCGACAACAACTGGCGTTGACGTTGCGAGGCGATGACGACTTGGTTCACGGCGGAGGTTGGTGCTATAATAGGGAAACAGAACATAGAAGTAGAGCATAATTGAAAATTACTAGGTAAGAATAACGTGAACACACCGCACTGCGGACAACGGCGTTCGCTCCGCCTCACTATCCCCGTCATTTTTGGATATTTGGGTATTGAAAGTAGAATGATCCAAGCGACCACCTCTACCTATGAAGTGAAAAACGGATTAATCAAGAATGAAAACAATGAGCACTCAACCGAATTCATTAGCAAACGATTGAGTAACTTGTTGTCGTTCACGTGGAGTCAGATTCGGCACTAGGCGACTGTGCAGTCGCTACAGCGCTTTCGCTGTTGCGATTGTAAATCGCCGAGTCTGACATCTTCGTTATGGTTCATACTCTCCGTGGCGCCATCCATGTAGCATATGCTTGGCATGCAAGACTGACCCCATTTTGAAAATAGTCCTTATGGTTAGATCAAAAGTTCCCACCTTGGATCATGCTGAAGTCCAGCTCTTCTGGTTCTACAATGCGTGATTCCTGAACCGGTGTACTGCATCGATTTCGTTTTTCTGGATCGAAGGCGCTAAAAAACCGCGAAAGGTCAGAAAACCCATTAGTTTGTACAAGCAGTGCAGCAGTCAACAAGCAAGTTACCAAGATTTTTGAAAGTGTTTCTTGGATAGTCAAAAAAATAAGACTACAACGCGGGATCGTAAGAACTAGAGGCAATCGTAGACCGGGAAAAAGCGGACGATGGTTGACGAAGAAGGAGAGGTCAAAAGCAGCTGGTGGATGGAGCGGATAGAATCCAGCTCAGAAGTCAAATATTCGTAGTGTACCGGGCCAAATTTGAAAATTTATGCCGCACTATCGCATATCGCCGCAAAACTGTTGTGCGCGCAACAGTTTCGCAGCGGCAAGCGGTGCTGACTGGTCATAAGAATAAAAAGCTGGTTGAACTTTGGTAGATCTCCATTTGCAAATCGCATTTCCTGATTTTATTGAAATAAGGAGTAGGTCAAATGAACTTCAACTCCCACAAATTCGCAAAACCACATGAACAGTCACACCTCTCAGGAAGAATGTAGCCGGCCATCACGGATTTCCGAAGCCAAGTAGACCGTACAATTTTGATGGAATTCCACTCACGCGCCTGAAGTACTCCTAGTATAAGATCAGCGAAGTAATAAACGTTGAACTGCAGACCAGACTCATTGACAAACTCGTCATAGAAAGCATTATTCGCTAGAAGCTCAAAAATGACATTACATGGTTTAAGCTAAGTTATTAAAGTAAGGAACTGTAACGTTCAGCGAATGTCCCACCTTTTTATATTTCATCCCTTTTGGATGATCAGCAATCAGGTGAGTGCATTCGTTCCTCTTCATATCACCCGAGAAGCGCCCACCATGAAGTTCGATTAGCCGGGCGATGTCCATACGCTCGCTACCTCCAACACCAGTGGCAGTAATGACCTACAGAACGAGATGTTTGAGATTATTTCACTCTAAAGAGTAGAACGTTGCTAGTTCTAGGGTGCAATCAACCAATGACCAGTGAACTGGGAAATCTTGAAGCTGTCCAGCCAATGAACCCTATGGAGACCTATCCAGCTTTACAACTAGGTAGAGAAAAAAGGCAGCACATATAGGAAATTGGTGAGCAACAGTGAAAAGAAAATACATGAAGGAACGAGGGGGAGAAAGAGAGAAAAAAGTATTGCATAAAATAATAGATAGACAGAGAATGAAGCCTCGAAGATATAGCTTACAACCCTGCGAAATGCATTTTTGGGACGCGCACGCGTCCAACTTCTAGCCTCTGAAAACAATGAGGCCCAAGCAAGGATCTGCGAGGGGAGTCGCTAAAAAAGTTCTTCTTGAGGTCTAGTCTCATACTAATTAATCGTCTCGAAATATCTACCCCTGGCTGGCCTAGGCATGAGTGGACCTCGGATTCGGCATAAGGGCGAGATGCGTGGTATGCGCGGCTGCACCAACATTCCCATGTTGGATAAAGGGGATGAATAAACAAAAAAAACAGAGGGAGGGAGAAGGAGGCGGAGAAAAGTGAAGAAAATGGAGAATACGGCTGGAGGAAAGGACATAGAAAGAAGGAAAACAATGAAGGCACCTATGTATGACCACATAGTTCACACGCCAAGTGAGAACTGGCTATGACAAATATTCACCATTTTGTTGAAGATTGGTGTGCGGTATTGTTGTGCCAAGTCCCCTGATGTGAAGAGATCAACCGAAAAATTCTGAGCAGCTTCCCATGCCTTCTCGATCCAAGCTGGCAGCATAATTGGTAAACTCATTCGACGAGCCTCCTATCATGAAAAGCAGATAAATTGAAAGGTGTAGCCATCGTGAGATAAAACGATGTGCAATAAGCAATCTTAGCAAACGTTGCTGTAACGAAAATTTTCGAACAAAAAAATATAGGTAGTTTGAAGAAAGTAATGTTTCGTTAGAAGTACACTTGTTAAGACTTAGCGCCCACCGTATACTTCTTAGAGGCGGTGTCACAGTGTTCCGTGACCAAATGTGTCACTTTTTCCGTCAAGCATGGTGACACGACTCCATTCATGTAGTTTATTTTAGCTTTCAATTCCTCCTGAATTAGTTCTTCTAGAATACTTAATAAATGACACAGGTTACACAAATTCACCAAAATTTCCCATAACATCGTCCAGATCACAATCGCATACTGAAACCTTAACCCCTGACTGAATCTCATAAAAAGCATTACAGAAGTCGTGTTCAGCGAATTCCATTCACATACTTCTTCAAAACCTAATTAGGGCGATCAAACGAATAAAGAAAAATAACGTCTTACACGTTTGTCAAGCGGAAGTCCCGTGAAGCAAACACATGCACCGGTCAAGTTCAGGGCGTATACAGGAAAGTCCCATCGTGGTAACGACCCACCGTTATTCAACGTTTGCCGAACAACGTGAACTCCATAAAGACTAAACGAATGCAAGATAGTACGCCCTAACATTA